GTTGGGTTAGATCATAATAATAGCTACCTCTGCTGCCCATGCCAAAACACATTTCCACCCTTTTTTTTCTCGGCAGCAAATGGAAAGGGTTCTTTCATCTCGCTCTTTATTTCTTTGCTTGGAAACCGAAGTGGGATGCATGGCCACTGTGGCTGATACAAGAACAGCAAAGGCCGGGACAGAGACAGGACAGGCTGAGCCATCGAGAGAGTGTATTACTTAAGGGAGGACTACCTGGGGGAAGACTGCACAGTTTGACATAGAGCTTTCTCAGTCTTATTACTCAAGGGAGGGGCTACCCGAGAGTGTATTACTCAAGGGAGGACTACCTGGGAGATGTCATCAGTCCTCTGGTCCGGGGACGGCACCAACAACTGGCACAGACGGCACAGACGTTAGTACTCTGGCCGGATGGTATTACACTTGCCCTAGTAATACAACTCTGGCGTTTAGTGCTCACTTCCTGAGTTAAGTGGGCAATTACTGCGATTAAAGTTGTCTGCAGTGCCAAAAACAAAAAAAAGAATCCTGTGCACACAAAGCAGTTTGACACAGCTTTCTCGTCAGTCTTATTGATGGACGCATTTTTCCAAATAAACCAACTCGTACAATCTTGTCAGACAGGTCTCCACATAATCCACTACATTCTTCTGGTCTGTCACGACTTTCTCCTCCTGTATCTCCCCTCGTTGGGTTCCTCTGCTACCTCTTTCTCCGCGAATTAGCATCAGCTTTCTCTTTTTCTATAGACCTAGGCCTTAGCTGTCAGTTTCTCCCTGTACTGCCAGCCCTTATACTGTCGATGGTGCAGAAGATCAAGAGCTAGGACAAAATTCCGGTTGACCTTGACTTTCCTGGTCACTCATCATCGCTCATTCTTGCCTCACCAGTTCTTTGAAGCATGGCCGGAATACCTGCTGCTCCGCTCTAGCGCCTACTCCCTGCACCTCTACTCCGGTCGCACGCTCTCTTTTCCTCTTCTTCAGTGTAGTCAGTGTACGCTACACTGTCGCTACATGTTCCTTTCTAGGGTTATTTAGGGGACCGCTAAGCGAAGTCTGTTGGCAGTCTGTACAAAGTTTCCAGGTGATAGCTCATATCTGCCTGATGTAAGCAAAATCTGTGGACAGTCTGTACAAGAGCAAGAATACTCTTCAATAAAATAATCCAACTGTCACCGGAGGACAAGATGTGGAAAATATTAAATAAAAATCAAATCAAATGAGCAGACACTCAGCACTCATACATCCCACATGGATCTCTCATACTCCCCAGCACTGAACAGCGTGCAGTGAAACTACCGGTAGTCGGCCCTGCCCGTGACCTAGCTTAGCTGCTGGCCAGCAATGTCATTCACTGACATGCCGCACGCACTCCAGTAATAATTATTTCACGTCCTAATGGATGACATGGCGACGTAGCAAATACTCTCTCCTTGTACACGAGCAGAGTTGTAAGAAGTGCATGCATGCATGCATGATCTACTGCTCCACGTCGTCATGTGCTCCACGTCATCATCAGGGTCTTCCCACACATCGCTGTCTTCTTCTTCTAATTCGCCGAGAGATGGAATCAAGGTCGAACTCCAGTCTTTTACTTGGCGGTACATCGATAGAGGGAGGGCTATGCATCGATGTATGGGCTTAATTGGCAATTAATCCATCCTTACAGGAAGCAATCAATGCTGTCAAGGTTCCCTGGGCCGTAATGTGGGGAAGCGTGTTACAGGTTTCAGAAAGTTTTTTCAAAAGGGGCGCTGGGCCCGGTTCCCAACACGTGCTGCTCCCCACGGATGTTTTTTTTTTTTTTTTTTTTTTTTTTTTTGGGCTTAACTAGGCTCCGATCTATTCGTGGGGAGCGGCAGCTGCCGGAAAACCGGTCCAGCATCCCTTATATCAATACATGTTCGACTAAATCATAACCTGTCTCTGCTGGAGATGGGGACCAGCGCCCCTCATAGCAATTCCTATTCTATCAAGACTGCAATCAGACTGTTCGTATGGTCTGCTCCGTTGTGGACTATACAGGCCTCTTCACCTATTCCGGCGCCATATAATGAGTATTTAGCAAGCCTGTATGAAATCCCTTGACCAAGTTGCATAATGACATGGGATCCCTGAGTACAACTCTACCCAGGGCCTAAGATACCGTCTAGAATGTCCACTTTCCGATAGTTCATGGAGGTCAGAATTCCTCACTCCAAGAATGAGGCTGTCTTTCCCTGTGTTCCCGGCTGAAACCTTGGCTGCTAATCTCCCATGTTTCTATGTTCCCATTCCCCCGAATACACTCACGGCAGCTATAGATCGTAGCTGTGTTTCGATTAAACAAAAAAAGAAACAAAAAAAAGGTTGGACTCCTTGCCACTCAGAAAGACACGATCCTCAAGTCAAAACGCTCTACATCATTGGGGTGGTCAAATACAGCAAGAGTACTTTTCTACCCTATACGACTCACTGACTGGATGGAATTTCGTTGACGACGTCATCTGATGGCCAGTCAATGATGGGCAATCCTACACTACCTTCCACATTACAATTACCATGTAATGCCACAAAGAGTACCAACCACATCAGCATCACCAAAATGAAGCTCTTATCACTCCCGCCATCCCCTTCTTCGTCAATCTGATCACTGTCCCACTTCCTCGATCTGATCACTGTCCCATAACCATGTGGTCAGGACAGCTGGCGAGTGCACTAGAGCCACCGGTAAGTTACGTACCGCACCCTCTTCTCATCTGACGTTTAACTAAAGGCCAGAGCCAATCAAGGACCTGCTACCAAATGATGGTGAGCAGACTATAAAGGAGAACTCAAATCACAAGACAATACACTCTCACGAACAGTGACTGACCAAAACGACAACGCAATCACCAATATCAACAAAGTAGTTATCACAAGTGCGCAGAATATTGACAATATTGAAGTCTTTTCAATAACACCCATATTTCTCGCCCCCCAAAATACAGAAAAACAAGAATTTGCGCTGGTCTCTCAAAACGCACACCGGCCCATACCACTACTCTCACCCTATCAACCTAGCCTATACTACTCTGGCTGCCTGAAGTCGAATGCTGCACAGCACCCGGCCGCTCCCATTGCTGTCTAATCAAAGAATGTGCAACGCTGAAGTTCTCTGAAAGCAGACCACGACGAGCTCAGGTCGGATAATAGACCAGATTCACGAGTCGAGCAGGGTGACGAGGAACGACTACAAGCAGTTGGGAACAGGGCGGTGGCGATCATGAACGGCATGCTGCGCGTTTCACGCAGATGTATCTGGCCATGATCCCGGCCGAAAGAGGACTAACATCTGGTTTTCGTTATATGAGTACACAAATCCAAACGGGGGTCACTTTGCGTCCATGTCAAAAAGCCATGGAAAAGCAGAGAGCCAAGAAAAAAAATGATTAATGTTTTTTAATAGGAAAAAAGATTAAACAGAAGAACGGGGGTATATATTGGAAGCGGAAAGACGGCCATCTTAATTTGCATTCACGGATCAAACAGAAAAACGGATGAGAAAGAAGAATGGGGGTATGGTCGCACTGTGTGTTGCCCAATCAGTCTATTTTATTCAGCCATCTGTTTCCACTGGGGAAGCAGAGAGGGTGCAGCAGAAAGAAGAGGGTGCAGAAGGAGACGAAATCAAGCACGGAATTGGTGAGAAAAAGGGCCCGAGAGGACGGGTGAAAAAGAAAACGAAAAGATGGGCCTAAATCAGTCGGTACACCCCCAAACAGGTGAAATACAGACCCGAGCTCGAATCCAGATATAACCAGACGACCAGAACAAAACCGTTCGGAATTATCTGCGACAAGCCATTTGAATGATGACACCTCATATTGGCCGTTTTATGAAAAAAATACAAAAAAAAGGGGAAAACGAGGTAGACAGAGCGAGGAGGAACAAAAGAAAACTATTCTCTCTCTCTCTCTCTCTCTCTCTCTCTCTCTCTCTCTCTCTCTCTCTCTCTCTCTCTCTCTCTCTCTCTTCCTGCGTGTGTACAGGTGTCAGTATGTGTTTGTAAATACCAAAAGAGAGGTAGAGACTTTGAGCGGGCTTCCCGTGGATCGTAAAAGACAGGAGCGTACAGGCCAAGATCAGGCAGCGGAAAGGGAAACTACGGTGGGCGGGGAGCGTGGAAGATACGGAGGAGAAGAGGCCGGGGGAAAACCGAGCCGGGGGTGGAGGGGAGGCGGGTGGAGGGGAGGCGTGGGAGGGGAGACGGAAGATCACGTGAGGAAATGCATCATAAAGATGATGCACAGAGTAGAAGCCGTCAGGACAAGAATCCAGGTGAAGAAGCTACTATTATCTGAGCAGACGCACCAGGCAACGGATGAATTCACCATCAGTTCCTTCAATGAGCGAGCTGTTATTGATAGCGAAGAAAAACAAAGACTGCGGCTTCTGTCTATAAGTCTAATCCAACAAATAGGTTACGTTGGCATACATAAATCACACTCTCGTTCATCTTCGTCACCTAATCAGCCAACCAATCAATCAAACCAAAATCAGTCAAGCAACCAGGCAATCAATAAAGCGATCAACCAATCCAAGTCATATCTAGCTGCCACTGGCCTCTTTTGCTTCTGATGAAAGAAACAAAGAGCGGAATACGGACGTTAAAATAAAACAAGACCGAAAGAATGATAGACTTGAAAGCAAGACTCGAAAATAGAATGCTGAACTCCTTTTCACCTATCGAAATCCAATTCAGGTGCCCTTCTGATCTCTAAACACCCTGAACGAAGGAGACACATGGAGAGAATGTGACCCCAATGAACAAAAAGAAATCAGCAACTAGGCCGGAGAATCCGCCACGTGACGTCACGAGCTGAGACTCGGTAAGAATGCGTGACAAGAAGCCGAGCGACAATCAACCAGAGAGATGGAGCAGCGAGAAAGCAGAGAGAGACAAACCGAAGGAACGCGAGGGCTTCCGAGGAGTTTCGCGCTGAGCAGATGCCGCCAAGAACCACCCCCACTCAGTCAGATCGATATGCTCTCGAAAACTGCGCTTCACTTTCGTTCTCCATCGCCCTGCCTCTCTCTCTCTCTCTCTCTCTCTCTCTCTCTCTCTCTCTCTCTCTCTCTCTCTCTCATGCACGTTTCTACACCAGCGATTTCAGCTGTCCATATCTACACAATCGCAAATCCAAAACTAAACGTGTCACACTTCGTTAACCAGTTTACAAGATGAAGTAGAACTAGAAGTTGTCGTCACTCACGGACGCGTGCTTCGGCTGCAACACCAAAACACCAAAGTCTAAATGCGTTTAGCCAAACACAGGGAAGCAGCTGGTAAATGATAAGAAGTCCCCATGACCAAAGATCGGTTCGACAGGTATATCCGGAAGCACACTGTCGTCTCCATCTAGAAACATAGGTCTTACCCTGCCTCCAACCTCACCGTCCCCCATTTCTTCAAGATCGAGACGCTCCCATGACGGCAAAGAAGCCGACGGAGACTTCGGCGGAGGCGACTGAGGGACAAGATTGCAACCACGACGCTTAGGAGAAAGAGAATAAGCCAGCCTATCGCTTGAACTTCTCGAGATAAAATGCGGGAAGTAGTCAGTGCGGAAGTCAAGGAGAGGCTTGATCGTCTCCTCCAAATCCTTCTTCTTCATCTCTTCCACAAGTCCAGCAACCTTCGAAGAAGTCATAAAGCAGTGCTCAATTCCCTCATCAGCATACTTTTCCGCGCGCTCATCGATGCTTCTCAGCGTGCGACTGATAAAAGACTCTGCTTCGCCTTTGGTCTGTCCCAGGGACCGTGCACCACCTACCTTTCCACGAAACTCCGCTCGACTCTCAGGTTCCAGCGGAGGCAGGAGATGTCCCTTTCGGCCAGAGACGTTGCTAGACGGCAGCGTTCGCTTCACTTGCGGCGGGGGTTTCACCTCCTGGCCGCTGCTGAACCTTCCGCCTTTATCGCCCTTGGCCGCCGACGACTTCAAATCTCCTCCTCCTGATGCTAAGGAACTCTTTCCAACTGCGAGGAGAACTTTTTTCGTGTTGGTAATGTCTCCTAACGCTCGCCGGCGACCGGCCTCGCTTCCAACTGCTTTCTTTCCTTCCCGAGAATCTGAATAGCACGAGAGAGCCGCCGCCGGTTTGCTCCCACCGTCAGGGGACCGCGTTCCTCCCACAAGGCTCCCTTTCTTCATGCCATTGCCAACTCCACCACCTCCCAAAACCGCTCTCTCCCCGCCTTGGAATTGCTTACCCGCTCGGAATGCCGTCGCCGCATTCTCGTCTTGGGTCACAGTATGCAGACGTTGGGAGTGAATGCTCCTCATGGTCTCCATCTCAGATATGAAACCCAGTGAAAGTCGATAACCTCACAGGACGTCGCCTTCCACGTACAGCGATTGATAGACAAGTACAACGCAATCCTTCTACCGAAAATCACCTACACCTCACCGGACGTCGCCTTCAACGTACCAACGAATGGTAGAGAGTACAACGCAATCCTTCTACCGAAATCGCCTTCAACTTACCCTGGCGGGAACGTCGTGCACTATGAGATGGACGATCTGAAATCTGAAATACCCTCGAAATTGCCTACCTCAACGGAGATCGCCTTCGGCATTAGATGGTACAGAGTTGTGCGCGATCGATCAGACTCCCGAAGTCAGCTCCAACAAATGCGAGTACGGGCGTCGAGCGAGACCGAACACAGCGTCCACTACTATGGACAGTTTGATCAAAGTGAGTTCCGTTCGCACTTTATTGGCCTGCGCTCCCTCGTACTTGTCCGTTCGGAGGTTGAGCGGGCTGGAATGCTGAAACACATCGGACGGCTGAGATTGCACTCGTATACGCGCCTGTCGGCCGGAATTCAGGTGTCCGTTGGCAGGGGCGCGATGAATTCGAAGATTTCGCGCGCGTAGAGGTCCAGTGGTGCCATTTGTGATCGCGGGACACGCGACCACACGATGCTGTGGTACCAGTGGGGCTTGGCATCCTATCAGTTGCTTATGAGCATGCGCCTGTGCCACTGGGCCCAGGAAAGCCACTGAGGGCCGACGATGTACGGGAATGGAACTACCAGCACCCAGATGGCCTGGGGTGTCTTCGGCGAGAAAACATGTTGGGCGGCTTCCAATTCCAATTCCAACAGGGTGCGTGCAGAGGACAACGGTGCAAAACTGGGGGACGTTCCAAGCAGTGCATGTACTACCTGCTAGGGTGAGGGGGGAAGGGCACGTCACTGAGGAACTTCGAAGCCCCTGGGCTGCACAACAGTGCAATGTGGCATCGCTCTCAAAGGTTGATTTTTCTTTTGTGCAGGCGACCTGCGGGTTGTCCTGCAACTGGTCAGTGTCCTATTTCTGCCAGGGATGGGCCTAGTGCCACCCCATGGCATGGGACAATTTTTCTTTGGAAAATGGCATCTGAATCCAGGGCCTACGGAATTGGGTGCACCTACAATTCCGCACAGCGGAAAAGCTGGGTACTATGCAAAGTTGAACGCCCTCCAGGGGCTAGGTCCCACCTGCACCGCGTAGTTGTAATTTAGTACAACTGTGTGACGGCGTCTGTTTGGCGGGAGAAGCGGAATGTTTGATTTTTCGCGGCGGATCGGTGGTACCATATTTTATGGTTTAGGGTTATGCCGTGTTAGACGACGTGGAACGCGGCACTGGCGGCAACAGTCTAACATTCCCACTGGACTTTAGTTTTTTTATCCATCATTGGATGTATGTACGCATGCATAGGTTGTGTGTCCACGTTCACGTTATGGATGACGCTTGCGGCTCTGTTACTCAGCGTGTTCCCGAGGTGCGCGGGAGCATCCGGAGTTCGAATCGCTGTGATTATTAATTTGTACGTAGCGCCGACCGGCCCAGTACTGTGCGAGGTCCCCCTAGCACATAGGGTTAGATTTAACGCCTGAATCTGGACCTGTTTGACGACAGACGCAGCTAACCATCATTGATCTGCTTTTTTCTTTTTTCTATCCCCCTTTATTTTTTTGGGCGTAACGCTGTGCCTGGTGGCTATTGACCGTCGATGTTGGTAATTGGGCGTAACGTTGTGTCTCAGTGGCTATTGGTCGCGCAGGTTTTTATCCACGCCTTGGGGGGGGAGGTGAGGAGGGGGGGGGTCAGGTCCACTGCCAGCTTTGAGTTTCCTCAACGCCTGAATCTAGGCGCGGTTGTGAAGATGTGCATAAAATCACGTATATTTTACTCAACCGCACGTATCCACAAACACGTCCAGATTCGGGTGTTGATGAAACTCTAAGCTGTTAGTGAGACCGAGCTTCTGAATCTGGACGTGTTTTCGCAAGAGATGTGGAAAAGCTGTTGAATCTCGATTTCACATATACATTAGTCTTTGCTAGTGGGTCTTAGCCTCGGGGGGGGAGGAGGGCTAGGTCCCACTAGCAAATAGAAATGGATTAAATGCCCGCATCTAGACGTATCCGCGGTAGAACACGCGAGGTTACTTAATTTTTTTATTTATTTTTTTTCCTTTAATTCTTTTCCTATTTTAATCTATAATTTGGACGTCCCTTATGCGTCTGGTGACTGTCGTCGAGGCTCATATATATATATATATGATGAGTCGGTGAAACTCCGACGAAACAGTTTGTCACAGCCCCTCGTTTGTTGTCCTCTTCTCTCTCTCTGCCTACGGTTTACCGGGCAGTTCTGTTTGTGACAATATATATATATACATATATATATATATATATATATATATATATATATATATATATATATATCGTCACAAACAGAACTGCCCGGTAAACCGTAGGCAGAGAGAGAGAAGAGGACAACAAACGAGGGGCTGTGACAGGGTTGTCGGCGTTCGGGACGGGCGGAACACGCGAACCCGAACGCTCGAACGTTCCGGACCCCCTCTCGACGCGTTCGGACGTTCGGCCRAAAGCGGACCCAAAAAAAAAAAAAAAAAAAAAAAAAAAAACATGTTTCCAAAAAATCTGAAAAACAATATATATGATGTAGAAGAATAAACTAAACAACGTTTGCCTCAACAATACATCCAAATTCGTTACCAAATTTGAAATAAAAATCAAATACGAAAAATAAATAATATTGCTGAAAATAAGAAAAAATAAAACCAGAATGAAATTATTGCGTGGGCACGGACGTTTTTGACATCGCCATCTTTGACGATTTTTCATTTTTTTTTGGCTTTGTTAAATGCCATGAAATTTTATACATATGTATCTTACATAATATAGAACGTATAAATAAAGTTTAAAAAAATAATAATTTTTTTCATGCCCCGAAATAAAAGGAAAACAAAAAGTGAAAAGAGAAGAAAAACAAATTGGTAAGTGGGCAAGCAAGTTTTGACACCACCATCTTTGCCGATTTTTCATTATTTTTTAGCTTCACAGAATGCCTTGAAAATTTACAGGCCGGTAGCTTACATAACCAAAAACTCATAAAAACAAATTCAGAAAAACATAATAATTTTTAGGTACCAAAATAATTTTTGGCGGGGTCCGAACCCCTTCGAGTTCGGGCCCCGTACGGGGACCCGAACGCCCGAACGTTCGGGGGTCAGCTTAGGGGTCTCCGTACGTTTGGCCTGGCAACCCTATATATATATATATATATACAGGGTTACCTGACCGAACGTTAGGGGGCCGAACACTTCCAGGTTCGGCCCGCGCCAAAAAATATTTTGGGGCCTAAAAATAAGTTTTGTTTTCTGAATTTGTTTTTGTGAGTTCTGTATGATGTAACCTACATGCCTATAAATTTTTTAGACATTTTGCTAAGCCAAAAAAAAATTAAAATCGTCAAAGATGGGGGTGTCAAGATCACCTTCTCACTATTTTGTTTTTTTTTCACTTTTAACTTTTTGTTTTTGCTTTATTTCGGGGCCTAAAAATGTTATTATTTTTTGAAACAATTTTAATGAGTTATTGATTATGTAAACTATATATCTGTAAATTTTCAGGGCAGTTGTCAATGCCTAAACATAATTAAAAATCGGCAAAGATGGCGGTGTCGAAAAGGTGCTGGCACACTCACTCATTTTAATTCTCTTTTTATTTTTTTTTATTTTTATCATAGTGTTTTTTTTTTCTGTATTGGATTTTGAATTCCAATTGGGTAAATAATTTGGATGTACTGCCTAGACAAGTATTGTTAAGTTTATGTTTCTCCATAACATAGTTTTTTTTTGGAATTTTTTGTAAATTATTATTATTATTATTATTATTATTTTATTTTTAT